AATTAAATTTATTTTTTTTTTTTTTTTTTGGTTAACTTCACTTGGGATTCAATACTTAGAGTACTCTCGTTTTACTACGAAGAGATAGTGTGCACTCGGACAAAGTTTCAACCTCACTCCCATTAATAATATCACAACTTTGAAACAAAATAAGGATATTTTTTAAATAATATTTTCATAACGGAGCTCTTTACATTTGAATATATATATATAACACGTGTCAGATATTTAAATATTTATATTGTATTTATTCATTGGTTGTTAGTACTTTTTCCTATGTAATTATGAATTTAAAAATCATAAACTCGTGTATAAGGTGTTTTCAATCACGATCATATATATATATATAATTCAAAAGTTGAGGGAGAAATATAGAAAAATATATTTTTTTGTTGGACCATTTATTTGGATCGTGGTTATTTTGTTTGGTATATTTTGAATTATATAAATTATTTTATTTTTAGTAAAAAAAAAAAAAAAAAGTCAAAAAGGAAAATTGACTCTTGATGGGCATTTATTCCATGCGTTAAAGCACGTTATTTAAATTACCCATCAATCAATTTCATTATTTTCATAAATTTTCTTTTCAAATAAATTACAAAAAAAGATAAACATAAATGCCAAAAAATAAATTATATGAAGGGACCCACAGAAATTATCTCGAAGACCAACTACACTGCCACGTGTCTTGTACGCAAAAGGAAGACGGTAATCCTTAAATCCACGTCTGACGGATCAACACCAAAAACTCATCCATTTATGGGTTTGTACGAGGCGCGCGTGTGCCTGACTCGGAGATAACGACATGACACGTGGGAACGCACCCCAATAATGTTGTTTTAAAAGCACTACAAGTCGCAAAGCTCGGCTGACCTGCCACAACTGCCACGTGTACTTTTACCTTTTTACCACTTACATTTTCCAGTTTACGTCAAAAATATTATTTGTATGAAAACAAAATTAAAATAATTATGTAATTTTTATATCATTTATCATAGGTTAACAATTCTAATAATAAATTTATGTTTTATTTTTTTTTATTTTAGATGATTGATTGGGTTGATTAAAACCATATTATTATATCATATATTAAATTGAAAATCATTCATTAAAGAGATTAAAAAAAAAACAATAATCCACAAATAAGACAACAAAAAAGACAGAAAATGTTCGGTCATAACCAAAAAAAAAAATTATTTTCCATAATTTAAAATATATAAATCCCAACTAATACATAAATACTGAACATATTATAAACAAGTTTGTTTGGTGGGATTAGACGGTATAATAATTATTATTATTTATCCATAATTTCAATAAATTTAGATTAAATATATAATTTAAGTCTATTTATTTATTTTTTGTGCTCTAATCATTTGTCCACGTCAGATTCTGATAAGACATACCTGCCAATATCCATCATTTTTTTAACTAATACAATTTTATTAATATTCCTAATTATTTTTAAAATTCTCTTATCCAATCATTAGATAGATAATTAATAATCAATTAACAAAATTCGGTGAGATTGCATATATTAATTTAAAATATATTAGTGGGTCCTCAAATATTTATGGACGGTAAGCTTATTCTAAAAATAATATAAAGTTAAATAATATTCAATATTCTTTATAAAAAGTTATTAATCTGAATAGAATATTTAAGATATTTGAAATAAAATCTAAAGGTTTTAAGATTTTTTTTTAAGCGAATAAATTTAAATTTTAAAATAATAATAATTATAAAAAAAAAAAACCTAAATTCGCGAACGGCCATTATGCTCCTATTGATTGTAACCACTTGCGTAGAAATATACTTTTCAAATTCCTTATTTTATTTTATTTTATTTTCAGTTTAAATAATTAATTAAAATAACTTATATTTTATTTTCAATGGTCATGGATGACGTACTATTGAAATAGTGGAATAAAAATAATAATGAATAATTTAAATTATTGTAATTCGTGGTGTTTTTTTGCGGTTTTTTTTAGTGGCAAGAGAAATAAAATAAATTTATTTATTTTTAGTTGGACATATTAAAAATGGGATTTAAATAAAAATTAACTATTTTCGAATATATGAAAAAAAAAATATTATTGTGCTATTTTATATATGTTCATTAAAATAAATATAATACCATCGGTACGACTCAACTTGTCTTAATAATTTTATGTTCGAATTTAAATTTATAGTAATTATTTCTAGTAGGTATAGAATTAATTTTTACAAAAAAAAAAATTAAATAAAGTTTGAATTTAGACCTTCCATTAGGATTCTATTTAACATCATTTTTATTTTCTTCATTTAATTTTATGTACTTTATTAAAAAGAATTTTTTATACTTTAATAATTTTTTTGAAAATTAATTTTATTTTGAAGTTTATTAAAAAGAATTATGTTAATTAATATTCGTTAAACACATTTGATTAGTTGATTAATATATATATTAATTTTATTTTTAATTACACAAATAAAACAAGAATGAGATTAATGGTTGATTAAAATAGTAATTAATCACCTGAGACAGTTGGTCGCTTTCGTCAGCACACAATCGACAAAACACCGATGTTTTCCTTTATATATATATATATATTAATGTTACATACAAGGGGACTAAGTTCCACAAAATAATCATATAAATATTATCAATATAAATAATATTTTTATAAAACCTATAAAATTTTATTGTTACTTTTCATTATTATTATTATTTTTTATTCGCAAAGTTTCCCAAGCCACATGGACGCGCGTGCCCAAAAAAGAAAAAAAATTACACAAAAATTTTAAATTCTACTAAATTATATTATATTGAATTAAATTTTCACACACCGATATTTAATATATTCATACATTATCGAATATTAACATTTTCGTACCAAAAATATTGAAGCGCGAATATATGTATACAATAAATAATGACTAAAAATTGATATTTTTTTCTAAACCAAACAATCCACGAACCAATCCCAAAAAGACTATATATATATATATATTTGGTACAAAATTAAATAACAAAATAATATTTAATAGTTTTCAATAATTTAGGCAACCATATATATTCCACATCATGTCTTCAACAATAATTGAAAGTGCATTATGTTGATAATAATGTATGTCACACATTATACCATTTTTATATGTTTATCATCGAAACAAAATATATGACATTTAAAATCAAGTTTTTTTTTTTTATGATATCATAAATTTATTTATCAAAAATTTGATATTTTATTAATTTGAGATTTATGATATCTTGCAAAAGATTTAAGGGTTGGTTTATGGTCATTCTCATTCTCAGGTAAAATCATTTTTGTTGTGAGATCCCACGTCATTTGGAGGGAGAAGCGAAACATGTATTACAAGGGTATGGAAACTTTTGTCTAGTAGGCATTTTAGAACTATGAAGATGATGGTGATACGTAATGGGCCTCCAAGGGAGTGGATTGTGTTTGATACTGGACATTGGCCTCTCGACCTCAAGGTGGTGGACTGCGACTAGGACAAATAGTATCAGAGTCAAACACTGGATGTTAAGAGAGTGTGAAATCTCAAATGGATTGGAGAAGGATGGAAGGCAGGAATATTTAAAATGAAGAAAAAAATGGGGAAAGTATGAAGAGCATGATGAAGTCCATCACTTTCCAGATAGAGAGAGGGTGAGAAGGTGAGAGGGTGAGAGGGCGCAGTGATTGTAATGGCAGAGATATCTTTTATAATCAAATGCTGGCGCAAAAGAGAAAAAGGCTGTCAACCCCTGCCAACTGCCACAATCAAGCCTTCTTCTTATAGGCCCATCCAAATTTCTTTTCACTTTCCCATCCTCCCATCTCTTCCTCCCTCCGTTCCTTTTTCTAGTAATTTTGTTGTTTAACTTCTTAGCCCCCACTCTCCTTCTTCTTCTTCTTCCATTCGTTGATTGATTGCTCTCTGATGGAGCGAGATGGGTTGGGATGAGATTATCACTGGTTTTGGCATCTGGGTTTGATTGGGTTTTTGATTTGGAGGGCTTCATGGTGAGTGGGAGGATTGAATGGCGGAGCCCTTTTGGAGAGGCTATACAAACGCAGGATTTAGAATTAGAGCTCGTAACAATGGCGGTTCTACTTTCAGAGGGGATTACAGGAAATTGAAAAGGAATCAGCAATCAATTAGGAAGAAGAGCAGTGTTAGTTCGTTTAAAGCTGGAAGAGGGGAATCTCACGGGACTGGCCCTGGATCCTCAGCCGAATCATCGTCTTCTTCATCATCGGCGGAGCCGGAGTCACGTTATAAATTTCAGTCATACAGGGGAACAAGAAGAAGAAGACGGTCGGAATCTTCAGTATCTCTATGCGACTTTAGACTCACAATCAACCAAGAAGCGCCCGTACTTTCCTCCGCCGTCGGCTTCTACTCTGCCTGGGTGGAGCTTCCAAGATGAGGCAAGAATGGGAGAGTTCGGCCATCAACAGCCGACGAAATCTTCAAGACTGGGAATGAGAAGCACCGGCGGTGGTAGTGGCGGTGGAGGCGAAATCTTGGAGGTTCAAGGAGGCCACATTGTTCGATCGATTGGAAGGAAGGACCGTCACAGCAAAGTTTGCACGGCGAGAGGCCCGAGGGACCGTCGTGTTAGACTCTCCGCCCATACTGCCATCGAGTTCTACGATGTGCAGGACCGTCTCGGCTACGACCGGCCGAGTAAGGCCGTCGACTGGCTCATCAAGAAGGCCAAACCCGCCATTGACAAGCTTCGAGAGCTTCCTGGATGGAATCCAAATGGTTTGAATACGAGCAGCGAGAAATCGGCAACGCAGAAGGATGAGAAGAACAGCGAAAACAAAATTCCGGTTGCTGTTCACCCGCCGGAGGGGAGTACAACTAGGAATTTTGTGGCCGGCAACGGCGGAGTTTCCGAATGTACCATGAAGAATTTGCAGAATGCTTCCACGGAAGATAACCCTAATAGCGATAACTCCAGTTTTCTTCCACCATCTTTCGATTCGGATTCGATCGTCAACACCGTCAAATCGTTCTTACCGACGACGACGACGGCTGCTGCAGAGACGCCCTCGTCAATTTTTGAGTTCGACGCGTTTCCGCCGGATTTACTCTCTAGAACCAGTAGCCGAGCGCAAGATCTAAGGCTTTCCTTACAGTCTTTTGAAGGATCAATATCAAAGCTCGAATCTGAACGAACTCAGCATTCAATTACTCAAAATCATCAAAACGACCATCCCTTTTTCTCTGGATCAACACCATTGGCTGGCTTCGACGGATGGTCGGAGCAGCATCCCCAATCGGCTATGGAAATCGGCCGACTCCAGAGGATTTTGCATTGGAACACGGTGAATGCAGATCTTAGCGGCGTAGACGGAGGTGTTAATGGTGAATTCTTATACAACTCACAGCCAACAACCTCAAGCTTTCAGCCGCCACCGCCGTCGCCGATTCTGCAACCGTTGTTCGGAGAAAACCAGTTGGTTTCTCAGAGGGGACCCCTTCAGTCCAGTTACACGCCCTCGATCCGCGCTTGGATAGACCCGTCAATTACCTTCTTCGACAATCAACAGCATCCAACTCCACCGTCGATCTACCAATCCACATTTCCGGGTCTTGGATTCGCCTCTGGCGGATTCCCCAGGTTTCTAATTCCGGCGCGGATCCCGGGCGAAGAGGAACACGATGGTATTTCTGAAAAGCCATCCTCTGCTTCCTCCAACTCCCGCCATTGAATCTGCTAAAAAAAGCTCAAATCTCTCTCTCTATTCTGTAAGAAACTACATTACATCAAAACCCAGTTCACAAATCCCATGTTTCGTCCTGAACATCATTGATTGACCTGGAAAATTCTTTCAACAGGACTTCCTCTATATCAACTAATAAAGCCAGTTAAGTAGCCACGCCATTGCTTTGCTGCTAATGTGGAAGCTTGCTTGCAGGGAGCAGAATTTGGGTTCCTTTCTCAATGGCTGGCTCATACAGTGGGAAGAAGAAGAAGAAGAAGAAGAATCCTGAAAGCATCACATCAGGTGTCTTCATTCCCGAGTATTCTATATGTTCTGTTTCTATCTACTACTTGTTTATGCTTCGGCTTTTGTTTCCCTGTTTGAAAGCTTTGCCTATCTGCTTGGTCCAGTGTGTGTTAAGTTAGCTATGGTGTATTTTAATGGTGGAGGCTTTCCCTTTGCCATTGATGTACAAGTACACAACATTCTAGTGTTCTTCCTGCCATCTTTTCCCCTTGCTTTTCATTGTAATAATGGAAACCCAATGCCGCAATAACCTGATACCTCATCTCTAATGCTTCCTTGATTTCAGCTACTTCGTTTCTAGATTTGATTGTGCAATCTGATTGGTACTCTTTTCTTCTTTCTTCTTTATTTTTTTATTTTTTTTTATTTAGGTAAATATAGAATACGTCGAGAATCTATTAGAAATCTAATAATTAAAAAGAGAAAGGTAAGGTTATAAAGCCAATTAAATGTGAGATGAAATTAGAAGTATTAAGTTGTGGGATCGTTTGAGTTCAAGTTAGAGTTAGAGTTAATAAGTCGTAGAACTGGTTGGAAAGACATACGACCGAACAATGAGTGAAGTGGGGCGGAGTTAATAACTTTACTTCACTTCACTCCTCACCTAAATGACAAATATCTTCTTTTGCTTTTGGAATAACCCAAAATCTAAGCTTCTTCAATGGTCCCGAGACTGTGAAGATGATGAAACCCCTGCTACACATTTAGTGCTATTCTCAGCCTATTTGGTGATGCCAGCTGAACTTTTGGGTATACAAAACAGCACTTGGAAGTAGGCATAGAGCTTGGAGTGCTGCAGAAGGCTTAAACCAAAATGGTTCTTCAAAATTTATGTTCAAATCACCTTATGAATCGGACATTTTCCTGCATTTCCCCTTTGTTCTCACTCCCATGCATCTGAGTAAAATTCTTAGAAAGTCATCTAACATATGGCACATTTAATCTTAGAGCTTCTATAATTGAAAGGTGCACCTTATTGGTATAGGTAAAGCTTTCGGTTCTTTGAAGCCTTTCTTAGTCATCCTATCCTCAGAATCGGTTTCATTCGGTTCATTCAAATGTCACATGGGTCTGCTTCTTATCCAAATCATATTCATATTGATGCTTTCATTACACAACCAGACATCAACTTGTGGAAAGTGATGGTAGATTGTGAGATTTGGTCGAGAATGTTGTTAGAGAAGATAAAGCATAGTGGTGGTGAATTAATGTGTGAGGAGGTAGAGTGAATTAGTTGAAAAACTGAATGTGTTGCAGAAGAATTGAATACTCTGCGAGTCAGATGGCATGGCGTTAATGTGGAGGAGGAGTTATTGACCACTCTGACCCATTCTCTGTCTCATTGACTCAATGTTATCTAGTACTTCATGTCGTGTGATTTATTATTATGTTCATATGTGTTGCCCTGTCCCTTAATACCAGTAGCCTGCAACATTTTATCTCTATAACACTTCAGTAACATAGCTGCATTTATTGTGCTCATCAAATCTGTAATTTTGAGAAGACCCCTGTGATGCTCTGCTCCATAACTTAGAGGAGAGTAAGTGTGGCAAGTTTTATATATAATCAAATTCTCACATCTATCTCGAATTTCTTAAGCTTGCTTTGTCATGCTCGATAAAGATTCATTGTGAGGTTTTCTTTTGGAGCTTTACGTGTGTTTTGTGTTTTATTTCTATAACTTAGTCGGCCATATTTGGAGTGAAGTTCTTCGTGTTGAAGTTCTTCGTGTTTTGTACTTCCAGTTTTACAACTCGTATTAGGAGTTAACATGGTAATGTTTTGTACAAGCTTTTTAAAGATTATAACACTTATACAGTACATAACATGATAGGTTTTAAGAATATAAATATATATTGCTATTTAAATCTGAAAAGAGAAAGAGAATTTTTTTTCTCGGAGAAAAAAAAAAGAGTGAGTTTTAAAATATTCTAGTAAGTTATCTACTTGTCGGCCCTCGTCACATCTTTAACTTATGTGCGGGCTTAACTCTGGGCTCTAGGAAGTTTGAGCCTAGTCTCTACGGTTGTTTGAGTATTTGGGGTGTCTTGAAGTTTCTTCGAGTGTTTTTGCTCACGGACCCACTTTGGATTTCAAGGAGGTAGTTCATCGATTTCTGGAGTTGCAAATCTGATGTCTTTTTCTGTTCTTAATTTTGATAACTTGTCTTGCTCATGCATGAATGACTAGTAACATAGGTTAAGGCACTGCTTCGTAAAGTTTTCATGAGTGACTAGTAACATAGGTTGAGCCATTGCCTCATAAAGTTTTCATGAGATAGTATGGTGTGAGTTAATTTGAACATCCCTCATGGAAGGTTGTTATTAGCTAACAGGCCTTCTCGCATGACCGTAGAGTCAATGTGCCAGCCAACTATTAGATCAACTTATGTAGCCTCACGCCCATCTCTCAGGAACGGGTTTACAACACAGTGATCCTGTTAAGGAGACCCCTAACCCTTTCAACAAGATTGGGGCACCTACACAGTACCATATTCACCTTATGCCTAGCTCGATGGTACATGTACGAAAGTGGAAAAAGTAGTGAAGAAATATGAAATAGTTTTAGACCGAGTCAAATTAAAAAATATTTTTTCTCATAATTATATTAACTAAAAGGCTGAAATAAACACGTCCAAAGTTAGTCCAAAACTATTTCCTTCACAAAATTCGTGCGAAATTCCTCTCAGAATAATATACTAAAAATTCAAAACCTAAATCCACGTGAATCTGAGTAAAAATCGAAAACAAGAACCCAAAACTCTTAACTCTCAAATTTCGCTTGTATACGATCTCCTAGTTTAACAAGCATCTCTTGTGACGGATTTGATTAGGCCAGGGTCTTTTCCTTCTTTTCACTAACCTTTTGATTAGACCAGGGTCAAAATGACAATTTTACCCCTCACCAAATTTTTTTTTTTTTTTTTAATTTCTAAATTTTTTTACAAGTATTTTACTTTTGTAATTCATCCTAAAATTTAATCTCTAAAATGGTGATAAAATCTTAAAAAGCAGAGCTTAACAAGGAAAATATGAGTAAATTAATGAGGGATGAGACTCATAAGGTATTTTTAGAGATTGGAAAATGAAAAAAAAAAAAAAAAAAAAGGGAAATACAGCAAAAATATAACCCAATAGATGATAGCAGATAAGAGAGAACATAAAAGATTATAGCATTAAAAAACAATATTTTGTATGAAAAAAAAAAAAAAGAGAAATGATTAAAATGGAAGGAGGAAGAAAAGAAAGACAAAAACAAAAAAGAAACCCAACCTAAAGGCGATGAATTGGGTTGTAAAGTTGGCTTGGCCTCGAGCTTTTCTTGGAACTAAAATCCAATTTTTCAGAGAGAGCAAATCTCGGAGACGGGTTTTAGATTTACATGGAAACCAAACCAAACCCACATGAGTAAATTGCAGTGGGGATGGATCATACGACTCATTTTTCACCATCACAGTCGGTCTACGCATCAAATCAGGAGAGTGGAGCGAGGATTTGGGCGACTTAATCGATTTCTCACTCTCTTATGTAATTATTCTAAATCCCTTAATTCCTATTTTCAAATCTTCCCCTTCTTCTTCGATTGATTTGATTTCATTTGATTTTTTCTTCCGGACATGTAACTGGATTTCAGAACAATCTAACTCTTTCGAATCTTTTTGTTCTTCTTCCTCTTCCTCTTCCTCTGCGAGATTTTTGCTTCATTTTGCTGCTTCGATCCTTGTAATTCCTGTTGATTTTTGCCCGTTTTTGTTTGATTTTTGCACATCTGGTTCTTGTTTGTTCAGAATCCTTCATGCTTTGTGAAGTGGATTACAGAGCTAGGGTTTTAGTTTTAGTTTTAGTTTTAGTACTGAAAAAGCTGAAACTAGGGCGGGAGTTATTAGAATCTTAGGTTTTTGTTTTGAATCATAGATGGAAGATGATAGGAATGGGCGAAGAAGAGCAAAAACGGAGGTGTTTTAATCATAGATTTGGGAGTTTTGGGACAATTGGTGGTATTAGTGGTAGATCTTCTTCTAAGAAACTAAAGCCGAAGCCTAGGAAAGTTCCTCAAAGAGGGCTTGGTGTTGCACAGCTTGAGAGGATTAGGTTAGAAGAACAGCAGAAGAATGGTGCTGGTGCTGGTGCTGGTGCTGCTATTTTTTCATCTCCTTCTCCATTGTCACCAACTAAATCCTCCTCTTATATGTCGTTACCGATCCCCGGTTTTCGCCAATCCAATCGTTCTTCGTCTTCGTCTTCGTTCCTCTCACTTCCTCCAGTGAGTCTCCCCTCTTCAACCTTAATGTTTGGACCTCCTCTGCCTGTTCTTAACATGGCTGTTAAAGATTCTTTCACTTTTCCATTGGTGGATCAAGCAAATAGTGGTGGATCTGAAACTGGGTTGTCTGCAGTTTCTATTTTGGAGCAGGGAAATGCTCTCAAATGGCATAGCTCTTGTGAATACTCTCTTGAGAAGGAGAATTGTGGGTTCCATCCCGGTCAGGCGTTTCGTTCGAATTTCGATTTCCCTTATGAAGTTAGCCCTCCCTGGCCTTCCCCTGAACTCCTTCAAAGAGCTCAGCAGAATCATTCACCTTCTCCAATGGTAATCCATGAGTTCTTCTTTTTCTTTGATTGTATTCTTTTTAATACCTATTTGATTAATGGAACTTGCAGGTGAATGTGTCTTCAACAACTTCACATTCTTCTGGCCTTAATACCCAGATAGAGCCCCCTTCAAACCAAAGCTATTGTTATGGCAACTACTCACCCATCTGGGCAGACAAGGAAGAGAAGGTGAATTCATTTACTTTAAACCATTATGGTTTTCTAGAGAGATTGATTGTCCACCACTGAAACATGCTCTGCTCTTGTTTGTGGAATTTCAGTATTTAGTTTAGCTCAATGTATAGCTGTTTCTATGAAAATGATTGTGTAAATTATGTAGTTACAGATGGTTGGCACAAACAGATTGTCTCTCTTTAATCCAAACAATCCAACCGATCCGACTTTCAATTACAACCACTCTTCCTTAGCTATTCCAAATAGATCCAATGATTCTACTTCGCACGGCAGTGGAAGTGCACCGAGTTGTCGGTATGACAATCTCTGATTTGATCTTACTCTATATGCTCTAGATATACTGTAACAACTCAATCCCACCGTTAGCAGATATTGTCGGGTTGATTGTAAGATCCCCACATTGGTTGGGGAGGAGAACGAAGTATTCTTTACAAGGGTGTGGAAAAACCTATCTCT